TGTTTTGTTGCCCGGGGTGCATGATTCATTTTTCACACCTCGCACCCCTCAATTCCGAAGCCCGTTATTTTCACCAATTAATTGCTATCAACGTCCATTATGGCACCCGCATCTAGTCTGGCGCCCGGGGATAAATGTCCCCCTTTAGCTAAGTCTCTGACCATCACCGATATACCGGGAAATTCAGTAATCGCAAATTCCCATTCTCGTTTGATGATTTCATGTTGAGCTTTTATTAAATATGGGAATATCCAATAAGAAAAACAGTTTTGCAAGATTTAAGTCGTGTTTTTTTTTTAATTTGTATATTATATATTATTTATGAGAATGGGGAAAATGCATTTAATAAAATGAACGATTTATTTTAAATATTGAACAATTATTTTCAAAATTGCTGCGTAAATCTTATGCACCAGCATGTCGCAATATCGGCAACAAAATATTGCAATTATGACTCAATTTTGATTCTATTTATAGATTTAAAAACTTAAAATGTTCAAGTTCGGGTAAATCCGATACGATCTTTACACCGTATAATATAAACGACGATTGAGTCTATGGTTTCAATGTTACAAGACAGCCGGTCAACACTCCAGTCTCCTTCCATCGGGATTTAACCGTCTACGCTGAGAATCATTTCTTGACAGATTTAGCAGGTAAATGAGTACATTAAATTTTTTTTCTACTTTTTCATACTTATTTGTATACTACCTGAGACTACCAGAACTATTCGATGTCTTGTGTTTTTCTTGTTTTAAATTTTCTTTTTAAAAATTATCTTTTAAATATTAACCACCAATTTCATTTTCTACCTCACCCACAATTCCAGTGTTTCCACCCAGCCTGTCTTTTCCTGTTTATCAAGGCACCGGCTGTCTTTGCTGGCGTAATAATCCCTACCTAGGCCATGGATACGACATGGAGACAAGTCGAGCACACCACATGCCCCTCGTCAGTGTCTCACAGCACCACCACATGCCCCCCGTCAGTGTCAGTGCCTCAAAGCACCACCAAATGCCCCCCGTCAGTGTCTCACAGCACCATCACATGCCCCGCGTCAGTGCCTCACAGCACCATCGGGGTTGACGAACTGTATGCCAGAAATTCACAAGCCGTTCGTTTCTATTCTGACGTCATAACAAACCCATCAATGTTGTCTTACAATGGCGGATTCCCAGCTTTAAAACCAGTGACGTACAATAATGGCGTCACGAGTTCATTAGGGCCACTCTATGGTGACGTCAGAACAAACCCATCAATGTTGTCTTACAATGGCAGATTTCCAGTTTTACCAACAATGACGTACAATAATGGCGTCACAAGCTCATTAGTGCCAACCTATTGTGACGTCAACATTCGTCCATCAGGGCCCGCTCATAGAGTCGGACGTTCACCAACAATGGACCTAAAGGAACACTCAGACGAAAAGGAGAGTGATATTGGAGGACCATCAGACAGAAAGGTAAGAATGTATTATTCGATAGGACCCTCAGACAGAAAGGTAAGAATGTACTATTCGATAGGACCCTCAGACAGAAAGGTAAGAATGTATTATTCGATAGGACCCTCAGACAGAAAGGTAAGAATGTACTATTCGATAGGACCCTCAGACAGAAAGGTAAGAATGTACTATTCGATAGGACCCTCAGACAGAAAGGTAAGAATGTACTATTCGATAGGACCATCAGACAGAAAGGTAAGAATGTACTATTCGATAGGACCCTCAGACAGAAAGGTAAGAATGTACTATTCGATAGGACCATCAGACAGAAAGGTAAGAATGTACTATTCGATAGGACCCTCAGACAGAAAGCTAAGAATGTATTATTCGATAGGACCCTCAGACAGAAAGGTATGAAAGAATTATTGGATAGGAACATGAGGTAGAAAGGTAAAAGTGAATTATTGGATAGGACCATCAGACAGAAAGGTGAGAGTGAATTATTGGATGGGATTTTATTCAGAGGAGGGAATTAAAAGACCCAATAATCGCCCCCTCCCCCCCTCTCTCTCTCTCTCTCTCTCTCTCTCTCTTTCTCTTCTCCCTCGTTCTCTCGACCCAGTGCAGAAAATAAAGAAATAGACCTCTTATATTAAGAAGATAACAAGACGTATAGTGCGAATGTTTACATCTCTTGCTTTGCTATGAGCATTTCACAGGCTAAAGAAGCTTGTCTCTTTAAATTGTATTAGTGTAGCCCGATAATGATGGCAAGCATGTCCCATATCTTTTAACACAGCTAAAAAAAACACATTCAGGCCATAAGGGCTTGTGAATTTCTTTTAGAGGAGAGAACGGCAGAAAAACCCACATACAAAACAGACGCACAACGCAGTGACAGATTGACAGATAAAGACATACATACAGACAAACATGCAGATGGAGCGAGAGAGCTGATACATATATATATATAGAGTTAGATAAAGAGAGAGAGAGAGAGAGAGAGAGAGAAAGAAAGACCTCCCGAGGATATTTAGATAGAGAGAAAGAGAGGATATATATATAAACGGCAGAGTCCATTTTTAATTTTTTTGAGTTATCACCCCTGACTTATAGCCAATTAAAAATAGAAGGTGCTGAATTAAGTTTAAAGGAGAAAAAATGGCTAAGTCCATAAGAAAAATGGAAACGAAAAATCCGTTTACAATGGAAAAAGAAGCATAGTCCAATGTTTACAATGGAAAAAGGGGCTAAGTCACTAATATCACGTGACATTTGAAGTCACGTGATTTAAAGGTCCAATACGATAAATGGACTTAAAACATTAACACAAATAAAATTTGTATTTTTAAATCGCATTTTACCCTTGTTTTGTTATGTTCAGTTAATTAATGTGTGTATCCGTCTCGTCTCTTTCGCTGTCGCTCTAACTCTAACACTAGTCAAGTCTAGTCTATCACTTTTTGTTGCATGTCTGTGTCTCTCCCTGTCAGTCTATCTCAGTTAGTTTGTATATCTCTCTCCCTTTCGCTCTAACTCTGTGTCTGACTCCCCCTGAACTCTTTATCTTCGAGTGTCTGTCTTGCTATCTCGGTCTGTTACTCTTTACTGACTTTACTCTTAAACTTAAGTTCATACAGTTACAGCTACTGCTAGAGGAAAAAAACTAATATTGGGCCAAAATTGTAAGAAGCACATCAGAAACTTAGAAAGTATGATTTTATATCTGATTTTCAGTTTAAATTCTAAATAATATATTTTTTTAATGATAGTTATAGGCATGATCCATATTCTTATATTAATAGTTTAAACAAAAATAATTTGCCTAAGGCAGGGTCATTCGTAAATTACATCACGTTAAAAATAAACTTTTTAGACACCCCCTCCCCTTGTCACGAAATGTCACAAATTCTCCCCCTCCCCCCTTGTCACATCACCTAAAAAAACTCAAAACATACATAAAATTTTCATAACTAAACTAAGATATTATTTTATTCTTCAACATTTTCCCATAATGCAGCAGTTCTAAACCTGTGGGTGGCGACCCCTTTATGGGTCGAATGACTCCTTTAAAGGTGTCACATAAGACAATCGGCAAATGCATATCCTCTACAGTTATGAAGTACTAACAAAAACAATTTTATGGTTGAGGGTCGCCACAACATGAGGAACTGCATTCAAGGGTCGCGGCATTAAGAAGGTTGAGAACCACTGCTATAATGATAAGATGCAGTATTACTAGAAAACCGAGTTTCATGGTACCATACTATAATACCTGAGGCAAAGTTGACCTCAAATTAATGTTTTAAAAATCAATTAAATTGTGATTTTTTTTTACGAATTAGAAACTTTTAGAGATGAAAAAAAGTGACGTCACAATTTTTGACCCCCCCCCCCTTTCCCCCTCCCAAAATGTGTCGCATATTCTCAACCCACCCCCTCTAAGCGTGACGTAATTTGCCAGTGACCCCTTAATGTGAAAATTTACTTATAAAATAGTTTTAAATAGATATTTAGCAATGATCAAACCTTGATAAATTACTACAAGGGAAAAAACGGCAGAGTCCATTTTGACCCCACTCTCTACTATAAAGAAATAAATCATGTTACATTCAAGTTTGAATTAATTTATCTACTTAATAACTCAGGGAAATGGACACTCTTGTGAAATGCATTTTAAAAATTACATTTTGTTTACACATTTTTAATGTGCATGGTTTTGAACTTTAAAAATCGAATATCTCAAAACAACAAAAATGTGACTCTGCTGTTTTTTCCCTTGTGGTCTTCAATATATATATATATATATATATATATATATATATATATATATATATATAGAGAGAGAGAGAGGATATATAGATACAGAGAGAAACGTAGAGGTAGAGACACAAAGTTCTAAATTGAGAATTGGTTAATGTCCCATCTGGTTAATGTCCCATCTGGTTAATGTCCTATCTGGTTAATGTCCCATCTGGTTAATGTCCCATCTGTAATCTGTCGACATGTTGCACGTTTTCAAAAATAATTTGATCGCGTTTGCACCTGTTTCAGTTTGATGATTCATCTGTACATGAATTCTTTTGGAAAGCTGTATTAACCTCAGTAATGTCATCTTCCACAGGTCAGAGGTCGTACGGCAAACAAGAACCAGCCACCAAACAAACATAGGCAGATCCTGCCACAAGGGGGCGGCATGCAGCAATGTGGTAGACCTGGAATTTCCGCAACACGACCTTATTCCAATATGAATTCATTACCTTGTCCAGCTCCTCTCGGGTTATTCGGGGGTTGCGAACTGCCAGAGTCTAGCCTCATTAAACCTGCTCCGACGAAAAAACGGAAAAGATCCAAAAAAGGAAAAATCAAAAATAAAATCAAGATTTCATCACAGGCAGCAGAAGGCACGCCAGCGACCTTGACTCGGCGTCGCAGTAAAAAGCGGAAACTGGCACAGGAGCCTCTGTGCACTGCTGGGTGCGGAGACAGGTATTCGACCAATTCAAACGCAGCCGGGGAAACGATCGAAAATGGCGCCAGTGCCTGCCGTGACCCCACCAAACCCGCAACCACACCCGCGATGTCGGAGCAAGAGATCGATTCAGCTCCAAGTCATAACTTGCCCGAGGTTCATCGAAGCGGCCATGGTGTCGAGGTTGTTCAGACAGGTGCCCGCAAAGATGAGACAAATTCTGATCTAACTTGTCCGACCGCAGACACCATCAGAGAATGTGCAAGTACGCCATCGATGGGGTTGGCCTCCATCACGCTCAGTAGCTGGGGATCTTTAAGCGGGTTGTCCATTGGGGGTTTTGTTGATCAGCTTGGAGAGGAGTTCGCGGACAACTTAGGCTCGATGTCGATGTACATCAGACAAGAGGTGAGCAGCACAACACATGCAAACGTGTACAGTGCAGGTGAAAAAGGTGACCACGGGCCACCTCAATGCCGACCAACACTGGAACGTGGTATCAACGGGGAACTACTAGTGAAAAGTTACTTCAATGTGGCAATGTCAGGTCAGAGTTCCGTAAAGGGGGACGTCAGTGGGCCAATGGAAGATCAGAGTACCGTAACAAGTGCTCTCAACGAACCAAAGCCATGTCAGAGTACCGCAACAAGTGCCCTCAACGACCCAATGCCATATCAGAGTACCGAAACAAGTGCTCTCAACGAGCCAATGCCATGTCAGAGTACCGTAACAAGTGCTCTCAACGAGCCAACGCCATATCAGAGTGAATTTTTTCCAACGATACCATTTTCTACATATCAACCACCAGATGCCAGCGACTGCGGTATCCCACAATGCATCTCGGCATCGCCCGACAGTAACCCCACTGTTACGACAGCCCCATTCGGGGAAACCGCGACGGCGACGTCAAATTTTCCGGCAACACCCGTGACGTCCACGGCGCCATCTCCAGCCCCATCACGGCAACTAAGTCTTGCGTCAGATAACTCTCTGGTATCTTTTCTATTGCTCAGCTTGCCGAGTCTTAACTTGTCCGACCTATACAGCGAAGATGTTACATTTTTCGGAGTTAATGAAAAGAACGTTTAATTGAAAATCAGAGAGGAAGTGATCTGGTCAACGCTTACACTTCACGTCAGTTGTTTGTTGAAAGTTCACATCACTGGAAGTGGTGACGTCATCGAGGTACACATTACGAGAGAGAAATGTTAACACTATGCAGCACGACTACGTGTGTCATGATGTGTCCGTGTGGCTAAATATATATAGAGAAATGATAACGCTATGCAGCAGGACTACGTGTGTCATGATGTGTCCGTGTGGCTAAATATATATAGAGAAATGTTAACACTATGCAACAGGACTGTGTGTGTCATGATGTTTATAAATAAAGAGAGAAACTTTCGTGTAATGTAGTAATAGGATAATGAAATGACAACGAACTCTGGGTTAATGTGTGGAACAACACGGATGCGGTCTGACAACTGCTATCTCCACCTGTTTAAACAAGAATAGCTATCTATACAATTGGCAGTACTTGCATCTATCTATGCCACTAAGCCACCTTTCTAACTCCTATGTATATGTACAGTTGTATTATTAATAAGAATTCTATCTATTGATACGATTGTGTCTATTTATAAAGATGTTATTTAAGTGAAGAATCTAGTCCAATTACCAAACTCTTTTATCATTTATACTTTTATACCACATAAAACATCTGTAAAATATGTGTAGTTTCGAGTATATGGAACTGATAAGAGGAAATTATCAAACGCATGAAATCATCAGGCGGAAAAACGCAATCATCAAAATTTCCACACACAAAAAAAAGTTCTAATTATAACCATCTTTCCACGTTGTGCCAATTGATTTGAAAACCTGAGCGATCTATTGTCACCTTTGAATATGGATGTCGATTAATTACCTTGTCTTAGCACGCCAAACTTGTTTTTCTTGAACTAAACCATTCCACGTAAACCACATTCGGATAATGGGACACAGATGTTCGCGCGGGCAGCAGCACTAATGACACGCCCATGACATCACCAATATTAGACGTGCATGTTAGACATAGTTTTTTTTTTAATGCGAAACACCAAGAAATAAAAAAAAATAAAAAAAAATTAATCAATAAATTAAGACCGTTTGCGTAAGTCTGAACGGAGACTGTCTAAATTTAAAAATAATAATTTTGTACAATCTTAGTTTTGTTGAAATATATTTTAAAATTATTGAAATGAAAAAACCCGTCATGTTACTTAATCCTTGCCATCGCACACAGTATTCATTTGTTAAGATTTATAGAAATTTTTTTAGCAGGAAAAAAGGAGGGGGCGGGAGGTGGGAGGTGACGCCCCTTTCCTTTGAGGCTCTATGTATAACTATATTTTGTATTATTATTCTATATATTATATATATATACATATATATATCTATATATATATATAGATAGATATAGATATATAGATGGATAGATAGATATATATACACCGATATATATATACTGTTATCGCAATGCTTTCCCCCTAAACTCCTGGACAAAGCCTAAAAAAGACCAATGCATCCTCTTTTAATTAAGTCAGCTTGAATTTAACTTAAGATGTCCTTGCACAGCTTGATAAATGTTCACACTGCAATGGTTTTATTTTTCAGCTTGACATAAACTCTGGTGCAAAAGACCACAGTTAATTGAAAGGGTCCAAAAAATAAACATGCTGATCTCAGTTCAAAGGCTTTTAAAAAACCTGCCATTTTATTTTTTGTTATTTTTTTAGAATTTTATCTCATCACTATAAAGTGACTCAAGATTATTGTTGTTTGTTTAACAATCTCAAGTGTTCCGTCCAATTCAAGTCAAAAGTTATTCTGTATAAATGTCATGAACTGTTTACAAATTTGTAACTGATGTTTATTATTACTATTTTTATTTTTTAAATTTTGCCTACCAATTCAATAAATACATGTTTTGTTCAAATCCTAATTGAACCCATGTTATTTGTATTTCTATTAAAAAAATATACTTGGGTCAAGTAATTCTGTGACCTAAGACCATCTCAAAATGGTCCAAGGGAATCTTCTGCTACCATCAATCTTTTTTATCAAAATATGATTCGTCAAGAGATAAGTTCAATCTTTCAGATATCTGCATAGATTTATTATCAACTGATCTGGTAAAATGAATTTTTGTAAATGTAATAATTGTCAAATAATTTTATTTCACAAATTTTGGAATTCTGAGCATATAACAACAACAAACTGATGATGGTAACAAAAATTGATGATGGTAAAGAAGAAAATTGATACTGGTTAACATATTGACAATGGTTAAGGACAAATTGACAATGGTCAAGGATGAACTGACAATGGTCAAACATAAACTGATGATGGACTTTGATTTATGCCAATGGACAGTAACAGTTGAAGGCGTTATACAGATATACTTATAATAGGTTTCCCTTTACACACCAATACATGTGTATGATTGTATTATACATTTAATAGAGTTACAGTATAATATAAGGCACTACGAAAAGGAGTAATAAAGGTTTGACAACAGGTTGATGTCACTGATTGCATGTTACAAAGATCATAGATCAAACATTTTTGATTGAGGGTCATGAAGATTTCTAGAGTACAAAAATAGAGGTAGCAGGCAATTGTAAACTTATCCCTACACACAATGGTAAACTTATCCCTACACACAATGGTAGACTTATCCCTACAGACAACGGTAGACTTATCCATACACACAACGGTAGACTTATCCCTACAATATGTAAGAAAATAAGTCTTTAAAGCAAGATGTTTTAACAAGGGGTGCCAGCCTACCATAGTGGTGCAAGATGTAGTGTCAGGGGGTGCAGTCAGGGGGTGCAGTCAGGGGGTGCAGTCAGCTAGTGTCAGGGGGTGCAGTCAGCTAGTGTCAGGGGGTGCAGTCAGCTAGTGTCAGGGAGTGCAGTCAGCTAGTGTCAGGGGGTGCAGTCAGCTAGTGTCAGGGGGTGCAGTCAGCTAGTGTCAGGGGGTGCAGTCAGGGGGTGCAGTCAGACCCAGAAAAATAGTTTATTTTGCCTTTTTGTTGGCGTTATTTATGGTGATGCTGTGGGAAATATGCCTTGAAATTGAGATGAGGGTGCAGGACTTTGTTTGAAATCAAGAGGGGGTGGGGGGAGCTGCAAAATGTTTAAGAACCAATGCTTTAAAGGAAAAAAAATATTTAAAAAATGACATAGTGGTTCTCTTTCATTCTCTCTCTCTACAATCTAGAGCAGGGTTTCCAAACCTTGATCCCCCCCCCCCCCACAACCCCAGAGGGTTGCAATGTAGCATTTCAGAGGCTTGCATTGTAGCATTTCAGAGGCTTGCAGGTAGCACTACAGAGGGTTGCAAGGTAGCATTACAGAGGGTTGCTAGGTAGCATTACAGAGGGTTGCAAGGTAGCATTTCAGAGGGTTGCAATGTAGCATTTCAGAGGCTTGCAAGGTAGCATTACAGAGGGTTGCAATGTAGCATTTCAGAGGGTTGCAAGGTAGCATTTCAGAGGTTTGCAAAGTATTATTTCAGGGGGTGCATGGACAAATGAATGCTAGAACAGAGGAGAAATTTACTTCTGATTTGGGATGTAAATGTTTGATATGTTTTAATTTCTACATTAAAATTTCATTTAATAATTCCAAAGTTTACTGCTAATTTCTACAGTTCTCATTATAAGAATTGAAAGTCAATTAAAACAAAAGGTTATGTACAGTTACATTTTAGAGGGTGCAGAACCGAGTCCAACAATTAGGGGGGGGGGGGGTGGTGGTGCAGAATACAAAAAACTTTGCAAACCCTGGTCTCGGCATATGTTATGGACGTTCACTGTCCTGGGTATATTTAATTGAAGTTTTTCTGTTTCTAATAAAATTTTATTTAATAATTCCAAAGTTTACTGCTAATTTCTAAAGTTCTCATTATAAGAATTGAAAGTCAATTAAAACAAAAGGTTATGTACAGTTACATTTTAGAGGGTGCAGAACCGAGTCCAACAATTAGGGGGGGGGGGTGGTGGTGCAGAATACAAAAAACTTTGGAAACCCTGGTCTCGGCATATGTTATGGACGTTCACTGTCCTGGGTATATTTAATTGAAGTTTTTCTGTTTCTAGAGGTAGGGTTATAGAAGCTCTCCCCGAGCTACACTACAGCCTCACATCACACACAATGACCTCACATCACAAACACTCACCTCACATCACACACAATGACCTCACATCACAAACACTCACCTCACATCACACACACTCACCTCACATTACACACACTGACCTAACATCCCCACACAGCAATATCGCAGTCTTAAAATTTAAAATTGTTCTTCCAGGTATAAAAAGACTGGTTGACATTAGCCTCCATTCCCGTCTCGCTGGCCGGCTTGGACTTGTAGAAGGCCGGGTCAAGCACGTAATCTTGGTCAGGTCTCGGGGCCCCTCTTAGGTCTGCCCGTTTGATCAGTGTGCTGAAACGTGTACTATTGACCGATGAGGCCCCCAAGTTACTGCTGCTGTCGGGACTGGCCTCTGACTTTCTTTGTCTTCTTTTAGTTACCTTATGCCTGAAAACATAAAAACAACAAAATACAATTGCAATTAATTTTTAGGAAAGATGTGTAGAAAAATACCTGGCAAATGTGAGTAAATTAATTTATTTGGTTGTAGAAAAAAAAATTATAAGAAGAAATAGCTATTATTTCCTACCATTAACCATAGTCTTATAAATTTAAAAAAAAACACGAACATAAACTAATGATTAAATATGTTGTGTTAAGTAAACTGTGATGCTAAGTTTAAGATGTATCTATTTATATCTGATAACCCAATCTTGTGCACATCAATGTTGTTGGCAATAAGTTATTCATGTGGTCACATGGGGTTGAGTATTTATTCATTGTACTTTGAGTCAGTAAGTGGTGATTTATAGACAGGGAGCGTAGGTTTACATAAATTTACATTTTGATGAGATACGCCTATAGATTATCAAATGAACATCTGAGACACACCTGCAGTGTATGGGCTGACCTTCTAATAAGACATACCCATGGCTTACCAACTGACCATCTGAGACATACCTGCAGTATATGGACTGAACTTTCAGTGAGACACACCTAGAAATTTTCAACTGACCATCTGAGACACATCTGCAGTGTATGGACTGACCTGCCAGTGAGACACACCCACAACTTACCAACTGACCATCTGAGACACACCTTCAAAGTATGGACTGACCCACCAATGAGACACAAACAAAATTTAGACTGACCATCTGATGAGAAACACCAACAACATTTAGACTGACCATCTGATGAGACACACCAACAACATTTAGACTGACCATCTGATGAGAAACACCAGCAACAGTATCAGGAACAGAAGGAAACCTCCTATCCCAACAACACAGCCGATGATGATCTTGGCCTTGTCCTCTGGGATCCATCGCTCTGAAATAGATCAAGATCTTTTGCTTTTTTATACAGCTTCACTGAACGGTTGCATTGGCCTCTGTTCAAATTATCCATGGTGGCTGGCAAGGACTACAGTCGCACACTGAATAGATTCTTGTATAACACCTTTGCATTAAAAGTTATAGTTATATATTTTAGGAGCAATATAATAGAGACACATAGTCAAGAAGGGTAAAATATTTTCTGTAACTGTTTTGATTTGTCCCAGATAAATAAGAAAATATATCTGCAACAGTTAAAATGAAGCTCTGATGTCCAAAGGAATTTGTTATATTAAAACTTGCTGCAACATTTTTTAAAGGCCTTTAACTTAAATTGAATTTTTGTTCCCTTCATAATAAAGAGTTGTGTCCCTTAAATCTGGTTTTAAAAAAATTTATCTCGCATTCCTTATCAACACCAAGTTTCTTTTATTGATGACATATTCAATTACCATAACACTGGTCTTTTGAGGTGGACCCTGTCGATCTAGTTGTGTAGTCAGCTGGACATGTCTTACATTCATCTTGCCATTTCTCACTGTTGTATGTCCCCACTGGACAGATCTCACACTGGTTGGATGTTGGGTTCCTGTACTCTCCTGGTTTGGTACAGTTTCCTTAAGGGTGAAGAGAACACCATTGAGATTAAATCCATTATTTCTAAACTGCTTAGACTGATACATGTCACTTAGATAAGAACATCATGGAGAACTGCCCAGTTTAGTTCACTTTTCATTGGTGAAAGCAAATATTGAAAATTGAAAACATGAAAATATTTTTGTATTGAGTTTTGACTTTGGTTAAAATGGATTAATATTCTCATGCTGCTTCTTGGCCTCTTCAGCTCCCAGTGGAGAATAGGCAATTAACTATATCTTTCCATGCTTTTCAGTTTCTTGCTATCTTCTCTAACTCTTTCCAACTCTTTCTGATCTTTATTAAATCGTTGTCGACCTCTCCTCACCAGGTCTTTTTGGGTCTTTCCCATCCTCTCAATCATGTTTGATTGTGGGGCGTTGCTCAATACACCCATGTCCGATGGAGTCTAACCCTCTTTTGATCCTTTGAGGGTTCATACCCTTTCTTGTTTTATTATATTCAGCATTGGTTTTCTCTTCATCTCCAGAGCAAGAAATTTGGAAAAGAAGGTGGAGCTTGACAGGCGTATTCATTTGCAGGTGATGAAACAGTTTTTTTTAAAGATGAAAACACCTATCTTCCTACCTATTAAAAAACCCAACCATATTTGCAACAAGCCAAAGCTTCTTGAGAGACTGCATGGTATGTGCACCATGATAGGTGTCTCTGGTGCACTGGGGGATGGAGCTATTATCTTTCAGTTTGATTTATTGTACGAACCAATAAAAATAGCAACATCATTTCCCCAACCATTGCACAGACGCCAGTATATGGATGCAGCAACGAACACTACCAGAACCAGAATAAGTAAAAATATATATAGCTCAAAGTAAATAACCATAAATATTTCTTTTGTTTAAAGGGCCCATCCTTATTTCTGCAAGGCCCTTCCTGAGCTGCACCCTGAGTTGAAAAAAAGTGTTCTCTTAGACTGCTCTGGGGTATATTTCCTAAAGTAGGCTACCATATTAAAAAAAAAAAAAGGCTCACTTGTGTTGCAATTTGAAAGTGAAGAACTTCCAAGACCTGGGGTGATGAAATCCACTGGACACAAGACACAGGAAATCTGTAATGACATATTTCTGTAGTAGCCCACTGGGCAAGGGATGCAACTCTTGGTCTGGTCACTGTACTCAAACCCAAAGCCACAGTTTGCTGAAAGTTTATGGTTGAAATAGCTGATTAATCCTAGTTCTCTTTAAATTTCAATAAGTAACAGGATACAAGTTTATTTTAGAAGATTAAAGCAGATTAATATGAGAAAAAAAGATAGAAATGAAGAAAATATAGATGAAAGGAAAACATGAACAATGACATGAGGTAAATTTGTTGAACTCAAAAAGTGACCCTTGAAAATTGTTGGAAATATTTTTTCCAAATATCCATGTCCAATATTTTCATTATATTTATTATTTATTTTTAAAAATTATTTTTTTTACAATAAAATGTCTATACTTTTACTGTGCATTCCAATTAAGTTAAACACACATTTTTAACATTAATCTAAAAAGAATGTTAAAAATTTTGAAATAGATCAACAACCAGAACTTTCTCATTTGGGGTAGTAGTTGAATGGGATTTCACTTGTCAGTTGTTTATTAACAATGTCAAATGCTTAAATTGTGTCAGGAGAAATAATTCATTAAATTATTGTTTGGGTTCCATCCACACTGAGCTCCACCATCTGTCACTGTTTCCAACCACCTCAGCTGATGTGAGCTCCACCATCTGTCTCTGTTTCCAACCACCTCAGCTGATCTGAGCTCCACCATCTGTCTCTGTTTCCAACCACCTCAGCTGATGTGAGCTCCACCATCTGTCACTGTTTCCAACCACCTGAGCTGATCTGAGCTCCACCATCTGTCTCTGTTTCCAACCACCTCAGCGGATGTGAGCTCCACCATCTGTCACTGTTTCCAACCACCTCAGCTGATCTGAGCTCCACCATCTGTCTCTGTTTCCAACCACCTCAGCTGATCTGAGCTCCACCATCTGTCACTGTTTCCAACCACCTCAGCTGATCTGAGCTCCACCATCTGTCACTATTTCCAACCACCTCAGCTGGACAAGTGACTGGGGCTGGGGGATGGACAAGGAACATGGAAATGATTAATGGCACTGCCCCCCAGATGAAGCTGACCACTAGTTTTAAGTCTGATTAGCCCGGCCTACAAAGGAATATGAGCAAATAGGGAATAAATAATGTGGCTGTGAAAACTGTGTATACCAAGATAGCAACTGCCAATGGATGTTGATCCTGTGTCTGATGTGTAACCAGTAGGACATGGCTGGCACAGCCAGCTGGCTGACGAATCCCGGTAGGATCCCATGGGACAGTCTGTACACACATTGGTGGCCTCATTCACCTGCTGCCCTGATGGACAAACACCTGAACCAGAGGACAAATCAATGGAAGGCTTGCATGGAAATTTATGCTCTTTTGTCCTATTTTGAACATCTCATTTTTGCTGTTAAGAATGGTACATCCTGTACAAGATTAAGTACATGTTTTGCAACTAGTTGTATAAGAATGACATTTTTAAACCTGATAAATTATAAAAACTTCTTAATTAAGACTTTGTTTACAATACTGGACAGTATTGCACAACTTAAAAGGCACATTAAAATAATTTTTTTTTTAAAATTACGGTAGCACTGATCCTGTGAAGTGGATCCTGTTGATTTTGTTGTGTTGCCAGCCGGGCATGTCTTACATTCCTCTTGCCATTTCTCACTGTTGTATGTCCCCACCGGACAGACCTCACAAAGGTTGGATGTTGAGTTCCTGTACTCTCCTGGCTTGGTACAGTTTCCTAATGGGTAAAAAACATCATTGAGATAAAATCCATTATTTCTAAACTGCTTAGACTGATACATGTCACTTTAGGTAAGAACATCATCTATATTGTTTGTAAATATTATTTTCTCAGGTGTCATACTTTTAAAATTTACTAACTCACAAATACAGAAGTCTGCTTTAGGGACAAATGTAAGTGAGATAAATTCAATTATTGCTTAACTGCTTAGATTGGTATAGTTTCCTTATGGGTAAAAACAACATTGAGATTTATCCCATTATTGCTAAGCTGATTAGACTGGGAAATGTTACTTTAGGAAAAAATATCATTAAAATTATTTGTATAAATTATTTCCTAATTTTTTCTATTTTTAAATAAGAAACTCACTAATATTAAGGATATATAATCTTAACACACCAGACGTTACCAAAATAAATGCTGTACAAACACACTTTGCTGTACCAACAGACTTGGCTGTAACACCACACTTGGCTATACTGTACCAACAGACTTGGCTGTAACACCAGACTTGGATGTACCAACAGACTTGGCTGTACCAACAGACTTTGCTGTACCAACAGACTTTGCTGTACCAACAGACTTGGCTGCTGTACCAACAGACTTGGCTGCTGTACCTACAGACTTGGCTGTAACACCACACATAACTTGCCAAAGAAATGCTGTACTAACACTTGGCGGAACCAAATAAATGCTCACCACTTCTAAAATAGTTCTTATTGGTGTGAAATAATTTATGTGTGCGAAAATAGAAAGTCATACCAATAAAACAATTATCTCTAGATGTTGAGCCCCGACCAGAAGTTGTGTAGTTAGCTGGACACTCCTGACACTGCCCACTCAATGAAACATTTCTGTAGAATCCTACTGGACAGTCAGTACACACATTTGTGGACTCATTGACCTGCTGACCTGCTGGACAAATACCTGAAATAATATGAAATTATATTTAAAAAATGACTATATTTATACCCTCTGTAATAATTCAGGAACATTTATTCAAGAAGATGAGATTTATCACAAAAGTGAATATTTTATCTCAACTGTTTTACATTGTTTTTGTGTTTATCCTGTAAGATGGGTGTTTAATTTACCTGCAAGGTAATATGCAGTATAAAATATAATCTATACAAAATAATTAAATAAAATGCTTGGACACAAGAACACATTAAAAAAAAATTTTATTCATAAGACTTGACTGGGGGTGTAAAGAAAGTTTTTTTTGTTTTTGTTTCTGTTCTGTCATAAGATGAAAACTAGTATTTTAGAGCAGTGTTCCACAGCTTATGCCCTCCCGTGGCACATCTAGGAACTCCCAATAATTTCTCAGACAAACATTAAAACATAAAACATTGGAAACTTTTAAACTTGTTTGCTGTAGGAAGATGTTTCATGTTTAATTCAATATCTGATGAAGCAACTCACATTTCACTATCATTCCACTGAGCAACACAATCTCTAGCTATGCCGCTAAGTTGCTATCCAGAATTTTTGGAGATAATACCAAAATGTTTCATTCTTTTCCTCCATATTATGACCATATTTATGTTGCCTTAATGCCAGATCTAGTCTTTAAGATCCAAATAGGCATGATTTCTTTTGGATAATAACCAGTTTTGTTCTTTGTTATAGTCCATAAATATTTGGCCTGATTTTTACCTTTGGCAAAACATTGGGTTTTCGTTTGAGACCGTTTAATTTGTCTCATTAAAATTTGGTAGAAAATCTCATTCCAATGTTGCTTTTTTAAAAATCATTCACTAGTATCATAAAGCTGATCATGTTAGGCCACAAAAGGATCATTTTAGAGGAGCTTGCATTGATTAGTCATGTTAAATATCATTGATCACAAATATTGGAGTTCAAATTAAAATCTTGAAATAGTGTTATGCTGGGAACACAAAGGCAATGCATTGTGAAATTATAACAATTTATTTCTAACCCCATATTATCTTCAAATATGGCACACTGGTCACGGAGCTCCGTTTTAGAGCATTTGAATGTGACACATTAAGTTGACCACTTTTTAGTTAGTTCTAAAACTAACTTTTATTCTCCTTGTTTCATTCTTTATAATTACACACATATTTCAATGTGCTACTGGGTTTTAATTAAAATAATTTATATTCTATTAACATACTAGCACTAAGCCATCTTGCAGGTTTGGCTGTGCTCGTTTCCAGAATCTACATAGTCTATAACAATTTCAAACAAAGGCAAACATTAACTTGACCAATGCACCTTAATATCAGTGATATGCCCCCATCCAATATAAAACATAAATCTATTTCATTTCACTGACCAATATAAAAACAAAATATGTGAATGTAATACTTTTTACCACAACTTTTAAAATAAATTTTTATCTTATTCCCCAACAAGCAATAATATTGTTATGTTTGTGTGTATGTGCAAGAGGTGAGGTGATTAGACAGTTCTTTAGAAAACAGGACATTCATTACGTGGGTTTAGACAATAGCATATTTAACTATAACCTACACAACAATAGTCTAGATAACAGATCAACAGAGACAGACATCAGATATCAACAGAGACTGACATCAGATGTCAACAGAGAAAGACATCAGATATCAACAGAGATCAGATATCTACAGAGACAGACATCACATATCAACAGAGACATCAGGTACCCAATGTCTTGAAAATGCTCAGTATGATGAATAGTGTTTGAGTGTGTGTTCACATACAGGAGAACTTGGCCAATATCTAGAAAGGTGCCTAAAGATTTGGTCATAATAAGGTTAAATGCAACAACACTGACTTGTACACAAAGATGAAGAGTCGCTCCCCTTGCGAGGCGTCGTCTGTCCTGCTGGACAACTCAAACAAGAAGATAGCCCATACGTTTCTGAAAACTGGCCCTTGGGGCAGTTCTCGCACTCTGCAACACTTGAGTTGTAATAAGTCCCCGGACCACAGGACACTGAAAGGAATACAAATAAATTTATAAAAAAAACTGGCATGTTTAAAGACTGATTAAAAATAATAATGAGCTGTCATTTATAGTAAATGCCGCTGTCATTTATAGTAAATGCCACTGTCATTTATAGTGAGGACCGCTGTAATTTATAGTGAAGACGGCTGTCATTTATAGTGAGGACCACCATCATTTATAGTGAACACTGTTGTCATTTATAGTGAAGACCACTGTCATTTATAGCAAACTGCTGTCATTTACAGTGAAGACCATTATCATCTCACCCTCCATGAATTAATTTTGTTCCTTAAAAAATACATTTATCTAAAAAAATGAAACTTTAAACCTTAACTGTCTCAAATGGGACTCACTGTAAAATCTATTCTGTCTGGTGTAACACTCTCATAATATAAGGAAGTAAAAAACTAACAGTGCAAGGAGTACTGGTCAAAACATTCATAACATGCAGACATGACATTATTAACCCATCAGCCCAAATAATACAAGCCTTGAGATTGGTTGGCTGGTCTCTGTAGCAAATAATCAGATTGCTTCTCCCATTTCTTGCTCATCTCGCCATTTTAATGGCAGCTTCCATTGATAGTAAATGGTGGTCTATCACTTTATAGCAATTTTATTTTACCCAGTGACCCCTATAAACGCTGAAACCTAAGTGACCTTGAAATATTCTAAAAGGCACAAGAAGCCACAGGGAAATATTTTATGCAGTTTTTCCACATTGAATCTCGAATCTCATTCAAATATTTGTTAGGACTTATTTTGGCTTCAACAATTAGATGAAAATTAAACAAAATTTTGCTAGGAAGACATGTTAAAGTGAAACAAAAATTGCAAATCTCATTTGCAAAAAAAAAAGTTGAGATTTCAGTTTGATTCTTAAAGAGTGCTTTCAGTTCATTCAATTCCCTAAAAAAAAATAAAAAAAAAAAATATATATATATATATATATATAGTTTAATCATTGTAAATTAAGTGCAGGGCCTGTGACAAGAGCTCCTGTCTTCTTGGCACCAACAGTCCAAAAAAGTCTCCGCCTCAAAAGGGGTTAAGAAGATAATGACCTATGTGAATGGAATACTCTACAGTATTCCCAACTTCAAAGATGTATTAAAGTCTCAAACACTGAAACAAAAAACTATTTCGAACACTGCCTAACCACGTAGGTCTAACAGTCCATCCTTGACATATGAAACAAATCATTTCATATGCTGTCTTATAGCATCATTGCCTCACAGTCCATCCTTGACATATGAAACAAATCACTTCATATGCTGTCTTATAGCATCATTGCCTCATTGAATATCTTTTAATAAAATATATTAAAAAATACAACACTATTCATATGCATCACATAGTGAGTAAAAACAATCCAGTTGGTTGGTGGGACTGTGAAGACAAACTTAAGAATAGTTGACCATGAACAGAAAAACCCATTTATAACTGTCTACCAAATAGTTCACCCAGCTCATTGAAATCATTCCATACATTTTATGGTTTCATCACATTCATTCATTCACAAGATTACAAACCTCTCCGCCGCTCCCACAACCCCCCCCCATCCCAAACCTCTGATCCCACACCCCCTATCCCAAAACCCTTATCCCCCACACTCCCCACAATTATCCTTGGGATTACTATGAAAAAGATCTAAAGCCTCAATGTTTATCCCCAAGTTCATGACTAAATGTTGACTCACCGCACTGTCCATTTCTCACCACTTGACCAGTAGGACAGACATAGGTGACAGAGACAGCAAAGTCCTCTTTGCTAAGGACGGCTGAAGGAAGGATGTTCTAAAGAAAAGATTAATGACATTATCTCTCTTTACCAAACTTTTATAAAATTTTTACATTAACTGTCACAAATATATTTTTTCTGTATTTGCTGGAAAGAAGTGAATTGTTTATTTTGAATTTTTTGGGGGAAACAACTTTATGCTAACAAATTTATGCTACTTTTATGTATTACAGTGTTTTTTTCATATGACTTAGTGCAGGCCTGCACAACTCAAAATGTAAGATGGGCATAATACTTTAACAGAACCTTTCACGGGCCAAAATATTTCATGCAAACCTTGGGCAAGCCCAAAGAAAGTAGGACAGGGGGAAAGCTATTGAGAAAATAATAATAAAAAATAATATTTCGTCACTTCGCGGGCCACAAAATGGGTGCTGGTGGGCCAAAAGCAGCCAGCGGGCCGTATATTGTGCAGACCTGGCTTAATGGATTGTCATTCCAGGTCTTTTTTTATAGCTATTTTTTTCGTGAGACATTTTTTAAAAGTAATTTTTAAGCACATAAAATGGCCTTTCACCTATTTTTATTACAAATAAGTTTTCCTGAGAATTCTATAATTTAAAAAGTTTTTCTGAAATCAAGAAACGCTGAGATTACTTAAGCCTAAGCCCCCATTAGCCTCATTATGTTATTAATAGTTACAGATGTTATATAAATTATATAAGATCTCATTAAATAAATTTTAAAAAATATAACAGCATTATTTTGTTTAAGAATACAATAGTTGAAATTGATCAGACAAACTTACGGCAATGCTGAAGGCATCATTGTCTAAAACTGCAACCAGAAATACATCCTTGGTTTCCATGCTGTTGGTACCATTGCTTAATTTGGATCTGAAGCAGAAAATTGCACCATTTAAACATTTTTTTTTATTTCATGCAGTTTATTTATACTAATTATTAACTTAGCACCCCTCCCCCCCCCCCCCCAAATTAAAAAGACATATTTCCAAAGTCTCCTATTATCTAACTAACTCAATCTCAATTTTTTAAAAAAAGATTGGTATTTTGCATGTATTTACTTCTTTAAATTTTTGCTGATGTATCACATTGTAATAATAATGATTTTTGTACATGCAGCTTAATAAGCTTGTGCCTGTTTCTCTATTCAAAATAAAAGAGTGTCAAACATTGTATTTTTAGCTGACCAATCGGGTTCTTTTCCTGTGGGACTTTGATGTGCTTCATGAGACAAAACACAATGTTTAAAAGTCAAGCCGACTGTTGAATGTAAAACACAACAAAAACGAACTCCCTAACCACAGAAAAACAACAACTTACGTCACATTTTTCAAATCAATGTTAACAAAAATGTTGAAAGGGAGGCTACAGTTGACCTGGACGCTCACATTAGAACAGTCAGCAGTGGAGCACAGCAGAGTTCCCCATGGTTGGCTCAGCTGAAAAATATGTAGATCAACAATAAAGATGTTTGATTAGTGTTTAATAATTTATTTGTTTTTATTCATACAACATTCGTGCAACATTCGTGCAACATTAGTACAACATTGGTGCAACATTCATACAACATTTGTGCAACATTCATACAACATTTGTGCAACATTCCTGAAATATTCGTGCAAAATTCGTTGCAACATTGACATTTTGAAAATTTAGACGAACAAACTGTCCTGGTGCCCATCACTGTACCATTTGTAAGTTATGCAAAAGATGACTGAGCTGTAAGTCATACAAAAAATGGTAGAGTTGTAAGCTACATACATGATGACAGAGCTGTAAGTCATACAAAAAATGACTGAGTTGTAAGCTACATACATGATGACTGAGCTGTAAGTCATACAAAAATGGCAGAGTTGTAAGCTAGATACATGATGACTGAGCTGTAAGTCATACAAAAAATTGCAGAGTCGTAAGCTACATACATGATGGCTGAGATGTACAATGAAAAATCGCTAAGAACCATCTTTACCCCAGTCCACTTACAAGGCACTTACAGTCCATCGCCTGGCTGCATGTAAATAAGAAAAAAACTAAAACCACATAATTACCAGTGACAGCTCTTGTAATGTCCTGTTCCTCACAGCAGCTTCAGTGCAGTCTGTTTCATTTATTTTATACTGGATGGTCAAGCTAACATCCACCCTGGCATCTTCATTTATTCCTGCATCAAGATGAATAAGTAAAAAACATATGTCACAAGGAAGTCTCAAAACTATTCAGTCTGATCATATTACTATTTGTTACCACTTAGGGCACCGATCAACAAATTTTTTTGTGAATCCTTTGTTTAAACTGAAAACCCTGCAAGAAACCCTCAACTTCAAATTAAAAATGGATTTTACTTCTTCTTCTTCTTATATTTGAGGTGCCCACGTTCAATTTGTTGATCATTCTTCATAAAATGACAATAGTAAGATGTCTCAGTTCACTTTAAGACATAGAACTGAATAATTTCAAACTTTGAAGAGCTGGCTATTACCATAAATTTAATTGGTTTAACTTCTGAATGATATGTGACATGTGGACTTGTCACTTCTGAACATGGAAAATGACAATAATGAACAAGCCCTGTTTCGTTATTTTCAAGACATAGTGGAACAAGAAATGTATATGCAAGAAATGTCAAGACAGAACAATTCAAAAGGATGTTTCAGCCAAATGCCTTCTTCAGCAGACAGTGCAGAACAAGGAACTGCAAATAATTAGAAATCAGAAATAAAAAACATGTGTTTAAAAATCTCATTGACCTCAATGTAGCTTTGTTTTTTTGTCTCTTCAGCTATATAAAATGTCTGATGTAATGTATACAATGACTTACAGCTTTGTTTAACCTCAAGGTAACAACATTCTTCTTTTCTTTGCCCTTTTTTCAACACATAACTTCCCAGTGAAGCACAGACAATTAAAAATATCTTTCTACGCCGCCTTCCATTCTCTGGTCATCTTCTACAACTCTTACACAGATCTAGAGCACATCTTTGTCCACCGCTCTACGTGAGATGTTGATAAAATTACAAACTCATCAATAAATGTCAAATCAAGGAAGTTAAAAATTAAATGTAACACTTTCCCTACTCACGTCCACAAGCAGGGTACAAGCCATCGGTCAGCGACTCCCAGTCTCCATCTGGACCACAGGTAAAATAAACCGGCCGGTCCCTGACAATAGTGAAATTGGGGGGGCACTCAATGTAACAAGAGGAGAAGTTGTTTACAGTTGAGCAGTTTTCAGCACCATTGCCTCGAGGGTGTGTCAGGTTGGGACAAAATGCAGCTGAGGGAAGAGGAAGAAAAGTCAAAACATGACTCTCGGGGCACAACATGACACTTGGGGCACAACATGACTCTTGGGGCACAACATGACACTTGGGGCACAACATGACTCTCGGGGCACAACATGACACTTGGGGCACAACATGACTCTCGCGGCACAACATGACACTTGGGGCACAACATGACCCTTGGGACACAACATGACTCTTGGGACACAACATGACTCTCGGAAAACGACATGCCTCTTTGGGCACAAAATGACTATTGGGGCGCAAAATGTGAACAACAAGGTATTGACCCTCTCTCTCTCTCCCCTGGACAGGTCAAGAAATCTGTTATCCCCTTTGGACAGATCAAGAAATCTGTGATCTCCCCTGGACAGGGCCAAGAAATCCGTGAATTTCTACCATTTAACCAATTGTTACTTTGTTTCCTCTCAACACACATATTTTAGTGCTACGATATCTTAAGTAAATCTAGAGCATTGATGCACAACATTTTAACAATAAGTAAACATTTTAAGATACAGGGTGTGCATAAAAATGGTGGAAACATAAACTAAATACAGTTTTAGACATGAGCGGTTAACAAAGAGATGTAGTACTGAATTCACATATTATCTGTATAGATAACTTACTATTGATGTACAAGGAGAAGTCACAGAGCGCTGCATTACCAAAGTCATCTTTCGCCACATACACAACTGTGTGCTGCCCTCGTGTGAAGTTAGAACCTGGCAAAGGTCAGTTGCAGAGTTTTTAAAAAAATAATAACTTCAAGTTAAAGAGTCTTCAAATTCCCTGAAAACTGCGAACACAAATTGATAGAAAAAGTAACAAGTCTGTCGACCACAGTTTAAATTAGTAAGCAAGAAACCTGGTGTGTTTGTTGATGAAATATTCACAGTCCCATTAAAAACAGGCAGTGTCCAAGATACTGCTTGCTCCTGATAGGTAGTTGGTACAGCAAGGTTGGCTGGACAGGAAAGTATCACAGGTGGTGAAATATCTGAGGAAAACATAAGGCCCTTTTTATTAAAAAAAAAAAGATGAATAAGTTGCATTAAATATTCAGTTGAGTACGTAAACAAAAATAATTTGCCATCATTATGATTTTTTTTTTTTAATTTAATTTTTTTAAAGCCTTCTTCAATAACAAATATTAAAATATAGGTGAGCATAGGCTGTACAATAACAAATATTCAAATATAGGTGAGCATAGCCTGTACAATAACAAATATTATGGTACAGAAAGGTTGGCTGGAAAGGAAAGTATAAAAGGTGGTGAAATATCTGAGGAAAACATAAGGCCCTTTTTATTAAAAAAAAAAGATGAATAAGTTGCATTAAATATTCAGTTGAGTACGTAAACAAAAATAATTTGCCATCATTATGATTTTTTTTTTTTAATTTAATTTTTTTAAAGCCTTCTTCAATAACAAATATTCAAATATAGGTGAGCATAGGCTGTACAATAACAAATATTCAAATATAGGTGAGCATAGGCTGTACAATAACAAATATTCAAATATAGGTGAGCATAGGCTGTATACAAAATTTATTTCTGCTCCCTGAGATTAATCCAATCTAGAGACATTTTTTTGCATAGAATTTTAATAAATGAAAAACTATTTTTAACAAAGACATGTCAAAAAGTATTTAAAACAGTATTTTAGTTTTAATTCTCCATAAAATTTTTTCAAAATGTCACAATAATAATTTGTAAACAGGTACTTG